ACCAATCAGCTGCCTCCTGCACACCCCCCACTGGGGATGTGCCCACAACCAAGTACATGCCCTTGACTGGAATCAAACCCGGGACCTTTCAGTCCGCAGGCCGATGCTCTATTCACTGAGCCAAACCTGTCTCTCGGCAGTTCTAGAAAATTTTTAACTTACATCTCCCCAGTTACTCAATAGTTGTTTTCTGGGTTCTACATATGTGTTCAAGGTCAAATGTATTAATAATTAAGAAAAATCTTTGATATCCTTATTTTCCTGATTATACTATTAGTTACCAAAAACATATATATATATATATATATATATATATATATATATATATATATATATATATTTCTTTTTGTTTTTTGTGGGTTTTTTGTTGTTGTTAAAATATATTTTATTGAGATTTTACAGAGAGGAAGGGAGAGGGATAGAGGGTTAGAAACATTGATGAGAGAGAAACCTCGATCAGCTGCTTCCTGCATACTCCCCACTGGGGATGTGCCCGCAACCAAGGTACATGCCCTTGAACGGAATCGAACCTGGGACCCTTGAGTCTGCAGGCTGACACTCTATCCACTGAGCCAAACCGAACAGGGCCCAAAAACTTATATTATTCTTTCTATTATTCTGGAATTTTCTTCTTGTCCTTTTGTTCTCATTTTTATTTTTCCTTTGTCTTTAGACACATATAAATAAAGGATTATGATACCATTCTGGTAGATTGATCTTTTTTTCTTTATTAAATGTCCCCTTTATATAAGTTCCCATTGCCTTGAATTGTACCTTGTCTGATACTTGAAAAGCAATACTAGCTTTCTTATATTAATAGATACAATTTGTATAATATGCCTTTCAACATTCTCTTAGGTTCACCCTTTCTCTGTTCTTATATTCAATGTGAATCTTCTATAACTATTCTATAGTATTATTTTACTTGGAATAGTGACAGAGTAGAGATTTAGAGTCAACTAGAACTGACAGGTTCCAACCCTTGTACTCTTACAGCTTGAGCTACATTGCTTCCCTAAATTGCATGTCCTCTCAGTCCCCATGTTCTCCTTAGCTGATCCCTTCCACTTCTGCAGTTGTCACTAGTCATAGTGATGAAGACACCCAATTCCACATCTCTAGCCCAGACTGTTCTCTTCTCTGGCTCTACAGATTTTATCCACTTCTCTAGTGGAACTCTGTCCCAAGTGTATTTCAGTCTAAACAGTTCCAAAATTTGTTCCATCATCCATCAAAATTAACAGTTTCCAGCTACAGACTTCGTCCTCAGTGACCATGTCATTCATGTAATCCAGTCTTTTTTCTATGCATGGCACAACTTTTAAGTTTCAAAAATAAATAGTATTGTCCTGTTCTTTAAGTAAATTTATCCACTTAATGTTCCTAAATTTGCCAATTGAGGGCGAACCTGCTGAAATGAAAACAACTGTTTTCAGTTTTGAAAAACAGAAAATAATTGAAAGTTGGTCAAATGTGATCCAATTAGCTTTGATGAGCACAGAAGAGAGACAGACAATAAAATAAACATAACAAGCTAAATGTATTAATATCTCATTGGCAGGGGATTTGTGTAAGACACAGTATTCTAAAGTTCTGAGTCTGGCTTAACTTTGTTAAATGTGGGATGATTAAAAGCTCACAAGTGCCGAGACCGGTTTGGCTCAATGGATAGAGCGTCGGCTTGGGGACTGAAGGGCCCCGGATTCGATTCCGGTCAAGGGCTTGTACCTTGGTTGCGGGCATATCCCCAGTAGGGGGTGTGCCAGAAGCAGCTGATCGATGACTCTTTCTCAATGATGTTTCTAACTATCTCTCTCCCATCCTCTCTGTACAAAATCAATAAAATATATTTTAAAAAATAAAAAAATAAAAGCTCACAAGTATTTTCTTTGGATGATTGGATTATGGCATTGTTTATATTGTCTGAAAATCCAAATATGTAATAATGGCCTTGTATTACATAATTATAGAAAGTGTTACATTTTAAAATGTTCCTCACAGAAACTTAAAGCATGAGTGTAAAAAATTAACCACCCTCAAAGACTCAATACTTAAAAGATTTAATAAAGCTGAAACCGGTTTGGCTCAGTGGATAGAGCATTGGCCTGCGGACTCAAGGGTCCCAGGTTCGATTCTGGTCGGGGGCATGTACCTTGGTTGCGGGTACATCCCCAGTGGGGGTGTGCAGGAGGCAACTGATTGATGTTTCTCTCTCATCGATGTTTCTGACTCTCTCTCTCCCTTCCTCTCTGTAAAAAATCAATAAAATATTTATATGAATAATTAAATGCATTATTATGTTAGTAAACATCTACTATATGAGGTACTGTGCTGATCTCCAGGAAGATTAAGACAAAAAAGTTATAAAGAGGTTCAAGCTTGCATAGAAATAATAATGCCTAACTTATTTAATGTTATGTTTATTACTAGGTTCATGATTAATAATATCATTAATAATAACTACATGCATTGTTAAGATATTTGGAAAGGTAAAAACAGTACTGGTTTAAATATATACACTGTTTAATGGAACCCAATTTTTAAAATGTTATATTTTGGGAAAGTATATTCATTGTGGAATCAAATAAGTAAGGTAATTTAGATCACAAGATTTGTGAGGTGGTGTAATCACAGTGTTTCCCTTTTTTGTTTTTGTTTGTTTTAAAGGTATAAAGCAGTGTTTCTCTATGCTTATGTTGTCAAAACTTAGATGAATCAAAATCACCTGAGGAATTGTCAAAATAGTAATTCCTGATCGGGTAATTGCGGGTGACATCAGGGGTTGAGAATAGGAAGTGTCAGCATTTTCCACATTTTCCTTGGTGACTATGATGCAAGTAAATGGTCTGTGTTAATATAAACACGGATTTGAGTTTAGAGAATTTTCTTACCAATTTTTTTTAATGAAAAGTGATACTTTCCAGGTAAGTAGTTACTTGCCTTAGGCCACTTAATTATAAAGGACAGTTAGAAACAGTATTGAGCTGGGTCCTGAGCTCCATTATAGTTGATTATCAGTCAAAATAATTAATAATTAAATATCTTCTATGTCAGTCACCACACTAGAAACTGAGCTCCAGGATGATTAAGACTTAATCACTCTCTTGAGAAGGGCACATACTAAAGCAAAAATGATAATGCTAAAAACTTATTGTTTTTAAGAACTTACAAAGCAGTTTGTTTCAGGTGTGGTACAGAGAAAAATGGGAAAGGAGTGTTTCAGTTTTAAAACGGGTTTCCCTAATATAATTTCCATGTCTTCCAGGTAAGTCTGCTAAACTGGTTGGGCAGGCCTGTCCAGATGCTTTTGAGAAAATCCCCGAAAAGGGTAGAAACACAGGCAAAACAAAGCTTTTAGCCTGCTTGTTTTTAAATATATTTTTATTGATTTCAGAGAGGAAGAGGGAGATGTAGAAACATCAATGATGAGAATCGTTGATCAGGTGCCTCATAACATTCCCCACTGGGGATTGAGCCCGCAACCTGACCTGATTGGGAATGGAGCTGTGATCTGATGGTTCATAGGACTGACGTTCAACCACTGAGCCACACTGGCTGAGCTAGTCTGCTTGTTTTGGTGTCTTGAAGTAGCGTATCCTGGACACACCATAGTGACATCTAGATATGTCTTCTGAGCTATGCCCAGGTGCCTTCCTGTCTGAGTTCTTTGAAGAGGAGGGGCATAAAAACAAACCCTAAAGTTATTTGGTTAAGAACCAACATTAAGACCCAGAACCATGGGAATGGTGTTCACGTGGTAAGCAATTATAAAGTGAAGATAAAGGCATTTTTTAAACTTCTGTAGAGGTCAAAGGGGGATTTAGCTCACCAAGGACTCAAGAGAAATCAGTGAGGTTTTGTTACCTTGACGACTCTAGCACATCAGCAACGGACCCAGCAAAAGGGAAAGTATTCTCAACTGATGAGGCAGTGAAGGAAGCAAGAGTATTGCAAATATCAGAGAACTGACATACTTTGGCCCTCTGGACTTATGAGCATGGGTGAAAGCTCCCTTTAGTTAAGGTGACCAGACGTCCCGATTTTTAACAATGTCCCACGTCCCCCAGCGTGTTAAAAAAAAAAAAAAAAAAAGTCCAGATTTTTGGAAAGCGGGACTTTTTTAAAACGCTGCGGGACAAATTGTTAAAAATCGGGACTGTCCCGCCAAAAGCGGGATGTCTGGTCACCTTACCTTTAGTCCTTCCCAAGCACCCAATGGGAGCCAGGATTCTGTTAACTGTTGGGGAGTTGCATAGAAGCTCAACACAGTTCTATACTTCATTTATTCCACTCTGCAGTCTGTAAGGCAAGCATTAGTCCTCATTTTACATAAAACTGACTCTTTAAAAAATGTATCTGTAATAAAAGTTTATTTTTTCAGCTAACCCTGGAAGATATTTAGAGTTCATCCTTTAAATTTGTTGATGCAGAAAGTATTATGTTCTTGCACTATATTCACAGACTCATTGCAAAAAAATTTCATTACTCCTAAAACTCCAGATAATTAAAGGGAAAGTCATATACTAGCCAACCACAGAGAAATGTTCCCTGATAAACACCTTGAGGGATTTGATTTCAGATTTTGGGAGAACTCATATATAAAGGGTGAGGCAAAAGTAGGTTTATAGTTGTTCATATGAAAAATAACAAGAATTAATAACACAAGTATAAAATGTATTTGGTGTACTCACAATTGTAAACCTACTTTTGCCTCACTGTGTGTGTGTGTGTAATGAGACAATAAATGTATAGGTTGCTTTTTAATTGCTTTATTAACTTTACATTTTTCCATGCAAATGGGTGAAACTACTGTTGACAGAAACTTAAGACTGTGTGCCAAGGCAATCTCCAATTAGAAGCTGGTAACACAGAACCCACCTGACACATGGAAATTACATAAGGTTCATAGCAAACAGATCAAGTAAAGGCATATCAGAAAACGCAAGGAAAATGAGAACAGTGGGAATCACAGTATTAATCTCATAAAAAAATGGCAGGAATCAAGGCATAAGGCAAAATTCATCATGATGGTCATGGTGATTCGAGAGCTCCCCCAGAAGGATACGCAGGCAATTCCTTAATTGCAGCTCCCTAAGTTTTCTCCTGATTTCTCTCATCTCCTCCATGAACATTTCCATATCATCTCCATCTCCGCCCATCCCATCATTGGCCTGCCTATTGGGTATGGCCCATCGGAAGTTAGGGGCCAGTCGGCGGGCCTGTCCCCGTCTGTTGTGTCCCGCTGGCTGGTGGCCTTCGCCCCCTCCCAGAGGGCGGTCTTCCTCTCCATTCGGCACGGGCTGCTCCATCTCTTCGTTTTCGTGGTGGATATCTGCCATGATGAGATTTTTTTCCTGATTGTTTCTCTTTGAACACAAGTAAGACAAAGGTAAGGAGAGACTGAATGCTTGGTGCACTGACCAGTTGGATTCAGAGCCTGATATCAAAGCTTTTTGAAATATCACTTTCCCCACCTCAGGGGCTTCGTGCGCCCTCTAGGGGGGGTCTCCGGTCCAGCCCCGCCCCCCAGCTCAATCCTCCTCCCTCCTTCTCCCTCCCCCAAAGCCCACCATTTTCCCCTTCCCAGAATTCTTCCCCGGGGTTCAGCACACAGCAAAATGGAGGACTGGGGACTGGGAACAAAAACTTGGGGGAGGTCCCTGGCTGGGCGCTGCACCCCGCACCCACCGTGGCCTGTCCCCGCAGCGGCTCCTCCCCCGATGGCCGCCGGAGCGGAGCGGCGCGGGGCGCTGCCCACACCGGCCTGGGGCCTGCGGGGCCGCGGCGGCGGGAGAGGGCGCTGGCCCCGCGGCCGCCCCCGCCCCCGCCCCGGGCCCCACCATCCCCTTCTTACGTCCCCCCCCTCCCGGGCCGCGTCTTTTCCCTGTTCCCTCTCCGCGCTCCTCCCCTCCCCCCGCGTCTCTCCCCGGAGCGGAGCGGAGCGGCTTCCCCGTGCTCCCAGGGCACCGGGCGGCGGCGATCTCCACGGCCAAGTGGCTCTGCCGCCCTCCCCGCCCCCGCCGCCCCGCACCCCGCCCCACGGGCCCCGCTTAAGCCCCGAGGCCGCCCGCCGGGGCGGCGGACGAGGCCGGGGGACCGGGCGCTGACCCCGGCGCCGGCCCCCGGGGTGCGGGGCGGCCGCTGCCCCGGCCCGGCGCGCCCCGCGCTTACCCGCCGCGCTGATCCGGGCCCGATGCCAGCCGCCGGCGCGGGCAGCGGAGGGAGCTGGTACCCAGAGGGAGTGACGGCCGCCGCTCCCAGGCTGCTCCCTCCGCAGCTCCGTCACGTGAGGCCTCGCGTCACCGAGGAGCTCGCCCCCCAACTCCCGAGGCCAGTGCAGCAGGAGCGCGCGTCCCCTCCCCCTGCTCATGCACCCGCACATACTACCCCCTCCTCCGGTTTGTGCTCCAGGGCCCAGCATGCACCACCCTCTCACTCATCTCTGTCCTATCCAATCTGAGGGCCCACAGCGGCCTCACGTTCCTGGGTTGGAATTTGCCCTTCTCTGTTTACCCAGGAGGTTCTGCAACTCCCTCCACCCCTCCCATTCCCACCCCAGGCCTTGGTTTTGGCGGTTTTTTGCTTTCTGCTCTCTTCTCGCTGCCCCCCCCCGCCCCGCCTCCACACACACACACACACACACACACACACACACACACACACACACCCTGCACAAGCACAGCCACCATTTCCCCCCTGTCCCCTACATTTTTACCCTTCTAGGAAATTTAGAATGAGGACTAGTGTGGGGAGAAGCCAGGGGACTTGTCAGAAAGAGAGGCAAAGAGTTAGAGTGGGTTATATATAGCCTTCCCAAAAATCTCTTAGTTTCCTTTAAAAAAAAATCAACATGCCTCAAAGCATAAAAAATTATGAGGTTTCATTTTTAAAGAAATGTTTCCATCCCACAGAATAAAAAAGCCTCATTGTTCACCCGTACCACACAGAAAACATTTTCTTTGGCTCCACACAACATCAAATCACTTTTGAAACATACTAACTTATTTCAAAATTTCGTTTTGCAAGAGGGCTGCACCTTTCTGAACACAGTTGGTGTTTTCAAAATTGTAAAGGGAGAAGTCCAGTTGTCAGACCTTGGCCATTTAATGTAAATTTGTGTGATGATTTTTTTTTTTTTTTTACAGAGCCTTTGCAGAAAAGGAAACTTTTTATTTCCTACTTTTCTTCCCAAACCTTTTGAACCACCCCTACAGATATCTTCTTAGAATGATCTTAGAGGTTAAGTACCTAATATACAGAAGTTAATTCCAAAGCCTTATGCCCTTTGATGTGAATGTTTCAAAAAAATATTAAAAATAAGCAGGAGGTAAGTGAAGTAACTAAACTTTAGACTGAAACTCACCTTGAATCTAAATGTTCCTTTCCTCAATTTGAAATAACTAAAACAAAATTATCACAGCTAGAAAATAGAGATGTCTTTAGAAAAGTGGTACTATTATAAAACAATATTTAGTAGGTATTGCTTGTGATAAAGCAACCAAAAGAGTTGTGTGCACTGAGACAAGACAGGCCAGACAAAGGCTTACTGCCTCTAGGTTTGACTCCAAACTCCTACGTAATCTCCTATCCTACTAAACTAGCTGGGACATTGAATAAAGGAAGAGTATGTACTTAGTGCATATATAGTTTGAAATTTAGGAGATATATAAAGTTTTACACACACACACACACACACACACACACACACACACACTTTTAGGGATATATGGTGTCAATAGAAGGTCTCTGCCACTAATCCAATGCCAACATGAATCTCCAATCTGGGCTGTGGTAAATGGATAAACTTCATTCAGGTGAACAGTTTGCAAAAAGAGCAAATGCAGCCTTAGTTGAAAACCAAAAGTATGCTCCCCCAAGAAAAAGAGGCCTACATATATGTAAACTAGAGGCCCGGTGCACGAAATTCATGCATGGGGGGGAGGGGAGATGGGGGTTCCTCAGACCAGCCTGCACCCTCTCGAAATCCAGGACTACTGACTCCTAACTGCTCACTTGCCTGCCTGCCTAATCTCCACTAACCTCTCTGCCTGCTGGCCTGATCACCCCTAACAGCCTCCCCTATTGGCCTGATTACCCCTAACTGCCCCCTTCCCACCAGCCTGTGAGTGACCCACATCCCACGTGGTTCAGGATTCAGGCTCTGGAAGAGGGGCTTCATGCAAATGAGAGAGATGAGACAAGAAATAATAATTTGGAAATTGGGGGACCAGGTGGGAACCCAGCGCAAAAGGGAGGGCTCCCACTGGTGCTCAGGTCTTGCCAACTTTTTATTCAATTTTGGATACATATCTAACCCTTAGTCAGGCAGGTAATTATGGTAACAGAGAGACTATCCTAAAGGTCAATAAATATTAGAAAGATTTACTCTGAGACTATTTAGTCAGGAAATTGCTTGAGCCCCCATTGTCTGGACTAAACAATCGTGCATAGCTTTGGCCCTTGCCAGAGGCTCTAGGTTCACCAGCTTTCCAGGGTCCTTGTTTACACTCCTCTGATAGTGAAGACAATGGGTGGCTTCTCACACTGGCCTGACTGCCTCTGACTGTCCTCCCCTGCTGGCCTGATTGCACCTAACTGCCTCTGCCTTGGCCCTTGCCACTGTGGCTTTGTCCAGAAGGAGCACTGGATAATCGGAAGATGTCTGGTCAACCCGGTCTAATGAGCATATTACATTTATTAGTATAGAGAGCGAATGCCCTGATTGTTCCATTTTTATGCAAATGAGGAATCCAAATTTGCACAATTTGATTGGTTCAAACAGCATTGTTCTGATTGGTCATAATTGTGCTTCCTGATTTGTCATTATGAAGCTGTTCTGATTGGTTGGTAAAGATGCAAATGAAGATATGACTACATAGTTCTGATTGGGCAGGCCAAGTCTCAGTCCGTTGATCAAAATATGATTCCAGGAGCTCCTTTATACGGTTGTCTTAGCCAGGAGGAACATGATAAAGGTGACCAGAATCTTTCCAAAAATCGAGACTTTAAAAACACTGCAGGACACGGGACAAATTGTTAAAAATCAGGACTGTCTCGCCAAAAGCGGATGTCTTAAACATGATACAAGAGGCTTGGCAACTTAGTCTGCAGCTTTCTCTGATATGTATTTTGCCTGAGAGGCCTCTGTAAACAGTGACTGCTAGACTCTGATTATGAGTTTGGATCCAGTTTACCCCAAGGAATCCTTCTTAGTGTTTCCAATAGATATATTAACATGTAGCCCCAAAACTCAAATTACAAAATCACATCCAATAATTATCTTTTAAAGGGATGCTAGTGATTTCTGGGTTCTGTCTCACAGAGTACTCTTCATACAAATAGCTCTATTAGTGATATTGGCTGAAAGGATGCTGATTAGAAACATGAGCTGTCTGGATAAAAAGTCCTGGCTCTACTAACTTGCTGTGTAACTTTGGGTCAATTATTTATCAAGGTGTGTGTGCTTTCTTTGTAAAATGCATTGTTAGAAGAAGTAAATTTATCAAGTACTTATCCCAGAGCCTAATAAATTGCCAATAAAAGTTTACACATTTTTTTTTACCATTATTAGATGGTTTCTAACAAAAATTGAAGACTAGGCATAGTTGAATTCTTTCCTTAACTAGATCAACTTGTGTATAAATTCATGAGGACCCAACACATCTGTTTTTTTCTACTTTGCATAACCAGTGACTTAGGTCCCTTGTACCAAGTGAATATTTGTTGACTGAATGCATCCACAAAAGAATTGCTCTTCACTCAAGAAACTGTGTTTATAACAAGGCAGAAAAGCTTTTATGAAAATTAAGAATTACCTTAAGAAAAATTAAGAATTACCTAGAAAGAACCCTCTTCAAGCCGAAACTGGTTTGGCTCAGTGGAAAGAGTGTCGGCCTGCGGACTGAAGGGTCCCGGGTTCGATTCCGGTCAAGGGCATGTACCTTGGTTGCGGGTACATCCCCGGTAGGGGGTGTGCAAGAGGTGGCTGTTCGATGTTTCTCACTCATTGATGTTTCTGACTTTCTATCCCTCTCCCTTCCTCTCTGTAAAGAATCAATAAAATATATATATATTTTTTTAAAAGAATCCTCTTTAAGTAGAGAAAACATTGTGACATAACCATTGACTTTCAAAGTTCCCAATTGGAAATTTAACAGTTGCAGTTTTATTTCTTTTAGTGGCTAAATGTTTTGCTATTGTCTTTTTGACCCATATGGAAAAAGTCTTGTTTAAAACTACCACATTTTGCCGAAACCGGTTTGGCTCAATGGATAGAGCGTCGGCTTGGGGACTGAAAGGTCCCGGGTTCGATTCCGGTCAAGGGCATGTACCTTGGGTGCGGGCATATCCCCGGTATGGGGTGTGCAAGAGGCAGCTGATCGATGACTCTCTCATCGATGTTTCTAACTCTCTATCTCTCTCCCTTCCTCACTGTACAAAATCAATAAAATATATATTTTAAAAAAAAACTACCACATTTTCTTGGATGAAAATATTCATTTGTATCTTGCTCCACATTAGGTTTTATGCCATTTAGGAAATTGGTTGTACTGAAGTGAGGTTTTAAAGATAAATAAAAATTGTCCTGGAAATGCTAGCTTTACTAAAATGTTATGAGGTATTAAGATATTTTCTTGTCCCTTAAAGTTTTCCGGAGAGTTAGAGATAGATAACAACATGTTAAGAACAAAATTTGAAAAATTTCCAAGACTAAGTTAGGATATAAGAGTTTCAGTTTGGAACTCATGTGCCCTTAAGACAAAAAGAGGGTAGACTGGTTTGATCACTCTTACCTTGAAATAATAGAAGGGTGGTGTAGTATTGGGAAGGAAGAGAGTGGGTTCATATTTGAGGAAGTACAGTGTTTGTAAAAAGAATTTATCCCCTCTCTTTATCTCTTATAAATATGGTAGAAAGTTACGCTTGATTCCCAAAGCCATCGGAGTGGGATCCTAAAAGAATCACACATAAAATTTAGGGATATCTACAAGACAGCACAATTCACATTTTAGTCCTCTGCTAGATCACTGGCGTTTTGAGCTACTTAGATGCTATAGGAGCTCAGAATAACATTTTTGCAGAGATCATGTATTATAGTAGTAGTGTGGCCTGGTGGAGAAAGGGCTAGAATTAACTCCTTAACAAAGTTCCCAATTCTGGAGGTGTGAAACATAAATTTTACCATGTCTACAGGCTCTGGAGTTGTTACTGGGGAGAAGGGAGTTATTGAGATACAGACTCACCAGAAACGGTTACATAGTAAGGCAAAGAAATCTATGAATCACATGAATATTGTGTGAGAATCATCAACTAGAAGTCACATGCAAGATATGGTTCAATCTTCCAACATGCCACAAAAATCTAAGGGAGCTGCTTGACTGTGATTCCTTATCAGCAGACTCTATAGAAATCAAACTTGAG